CTATATTACAGTTATGATTAAAGATAATAATAGATACAGTTACAGTTACATATATAACAGCACCCAGGCAGGAAAATAAATTTTGCTGTTTGGAGTGCATCTCTGGGTCAGACCAAAAACTTTTTATCTTACACTCGTAGAAGTTGGAATCAATTTTTAAAGCTTATTATTAAAATTAAATTTTCATCAAATCTCTTATTTTTTCAACATGCCTCTGAATCTGGTAAATCACCCAATCTTCTGATTTTTAATTTTGAACCCGTTACTATTTTGCAATAATGAACATAATATCATCATTTCATCCATCATATTATAGAATGAACTTGAACTACGAATATGGCCTCAAATGGCATTAGGCAAAGTTGAGCCATAAAGTTGGTTTCTTGTCAAAAATCTACTCTAGATAAATGCTCAAGCTGAAGGGAAGCGAGTAATTTATTTTGTTTTTTGTTGTATTCGTCTGCATGTGTCATAGGATTATAATTTAGGAATTAGTTATGAGTTAAATTAAGTTAAGTTTCTTATTTTAAATTAGTTATTAATTTTATTTTCATCATGTTAAAATGTACTTTGATAATTAAAAGCATTGTCGTGCAAACACAAAATTTTGGATGTCAACTTTCTTCAGTGCTTGTTTTGAACTGCTCTCCTAAGGTTGCACAATGTGTGACAGTACCACTCAGAGTTTATTATGGCACAATGTTCGAGAAAATCAATCAGAAGCACACCTTGCCTATCCCAAAACACAGTCTCCATAATCTTCTTTGGTGACAAGGTTTGCAAACATTTTCTTGTTCTTTTGAGGGAACTTGTGTGCTCGCACTGCATGGACTGTAAATTTGTCTCACAATTCACGTGTCTCACCCATGTCTCATCACCAGTTATGATTCATTTCAGTAATGAATCACCATGTCTGTCGTAGGCCTGCAGAAATTTCAAAGCTGCCCCCCCCCATTTGCTAACCTTTATGGTGGTCCGTAAGCAATTTTGGCACCCATCTTGCACAAAATTTGCGGTAGCCTAACTTTTATGTGACAATTTCAAACAACAAAGTCCGTGAAACTTGTGGAAAACTAAGCGAAAGCTTCGTTATTGTGAAACGGCGGTTTTCATGAATCTTTTCATCAACTTTAGCGATCAGTTTGTCAGTCACAATGCTAGGGCATCCACTCTTCTCTTCATCGTGAACGTTAGTTCGACCATTTTTAAGCTGAATGCATCATTTCCGGTTTGAACTTTCATTCATTACGTTGTTTTCGTACACTTCACACACTTGCCGATAAAATTTCCATAGGTTTCCTATTACAAAAGTATTTTAAATGATGCAAATATTTGTGTTTTAGCATTTTTTTAATTAAATTTTTTTTTGGGTAAAAATCATGAAATCTAATTTTTTGCCAATAAAAACTGTATCACAGAGTGCACCTCACAACTGGCGGGATTTTTAATTTCAGCGCACATTTTAAATTTGAACATCGAAAAAACAGGCAGTGTGGAAATGTTCCTGTTGTGGTGGCTGGACACTGAGGGAGATGCCGAGCTCGCAGACACTAAAATAACTAACACTGCCTAGCGACGTCAGACAGAAATGTTTATTTTCTGAATAGTCCTCGTATTTTAATTTAACATTATGAAGAGTATAGATGGAAACTGTGAATGCAGGTAGCAGTAGATTCTGCACAAAGAATGCTGTGAGTGCTTGTGTGCAGACATTCTCGCATGCGTAGAATTTCGAATGGTATCCACAAATGGACCTTATGTAAGTCTACATTTGACATGATTGAAAACTTCTGATCTATTCATTAATTGAGTATTATTTTATATTTTTCACACCCACCAGTAGATCATACTATGACCAGTATTGGGAAAAACAACCAATGACCAAATATTCCTGTACTGTACAAAACTATGGCAACATAGATAAGCTACTTTTTAAGTCAGCCAGTTGACTAGCACTATTATAGCACTAAAAGAAAAAGTGAAAAAGCCCAAAAAGTGCAGATTTATAGTTTTGCCATCATGTCGATGAGATGTTCAGATTAAGATTTTGAATAGGCAGAATTTTTAATTAATTAATAATATAATGAAGCTATTTGTTTAAATAGATAATGTTGAAAGAAAAATTAATATACATTTCATTTATACATAGGGTAAAGAGCAATATCCATGAAATCAAATTTTCTATTGAAATAGGAACAACAAATTGTACTTGGCCTGCTTGTTGCAGAATCCCACATCTAGTGGGGTGCAACGTACTTTATGCTCAGACAGACTTGTAATTAACGCTGCATTGATTCAGCTGTCAGTAAAATCACAGGCAGTTGTCTATTTGCCTTCATGAAGCAAAATAGTCTCTGATGCTGACATTTGTATATCAGGCATCCAATGCCTTGGCATCTGCTGCTGGTTTCAGTGTCCCTCCACTTCTCACAAGTTCTAAAAAGGCAGCTTGCTGACACATGATAAGCAGCAAGTCAACGAGCGGTAAAATCACTGAACACTGGTACTTCAGTCCAAGGTTCGATTCTCACGAATGGGCTGCCTGCATGAGCGTTTCCATTGTATTCCCCATATGTAACATGTATACGAGCCAGTTTCCTTTAGAAAGTCCTCCACAAAGGCATCCATCTCCTTTGCCGTAATAACGTAAACCAAACCAAACTCATTTTATGTTAGGGTTTGGATGAATTCAAATGGAAAATACAAATACAAAATCCTGGAATAGAATTTTTACTAAATTGGAAATATAACAGGGTTCGTAGCGGTCCTTACAAGTGCTTATAAGTCCTTATATTTGAAAATAAAATATAAAGGCCCTTATAGGTGCTTACTTTTTCTTTAAAGCCCTTATTTTTTTGTTTTTAGTGCTTATTTTTTGCTTTTAGTGCTTTTTTTTTAATGAACGCGCTATTTTCCCCCTACCAAAGCCGAAACTAAATAAACAACTTTTCTTTAATATTGAATGTCAGGTGGTGAATCATACTCCCGGAAATAGCTTTTCCCCCTTTCTCTGCATTAACATAACCTTTGGTGCGCACAAAGAGTACAGACAGGTGCCCGTCGTTATATTGGTCAAAGAATTGCGAAAGCTGTAGAAAATTTCGGTACATTCGGCATTCTTTTCATCCCACCCAAATACTATACACGTTTAAATTTCTATCCAGATCTTAATAATTTGCATTCTCGTTCCGCTTGGTCAGTTCATATTTGTGTTTATTATGATCATTATGCTTATATTATGAGTATATGTATGAATGTTTATAATAACAGTTGCAGTAACTGCTGAAGTATAGTAAACTTCCAAAAATGGTTGTATTTTTACACAGATTAGCTTTCTAAGGAATAATATTCGGAATGGCTTAAATAAAGGGAAAGTAATCGAATAGTCAAAATAATTTAATTTTTTTTTGGCCAATACATTATATAGTGCGAAGATTGGGAGGTTCTCCCCTTTCTCCGCAAAATCTCAAATATTGAAACTGTTACAAGTTCGCTGCAAAACTTTTTTTTTTTTTTTTTTTTTTTTGTCACTTTCCAATCTGGATTGAATAGGACTAAAAGTTCTGTGGTCTACCAACCCAGCGAAGAATGATTCTATTGCGGAAATTTAACGCCGTCTGTTGAAAATTAGAATGAAAAACACCCCAGTTACTCTTCTTTTATTTATTAGTCTTTATTCTCCCAATTTCAGCAGCTGTTGATTCCGATTGCGTAATATCACGTAGGGGAAGAATTATGGCACACGTATTGTGCAATAACGTTTGCGATATTTCGCAGAGATAATTAATTTTGATGTTCTGTTTGAGATTTGTTTATGAACACTTAAAAGAGTTTTACTGTGCTTGCTAAGCAGAATATTTTTCAGTTCCATTGGTTTATTTTTATATGATTCACATATCAAAATGTCAAAAGCATTTATTTAGCGGAAAAATCTAAAAAGTGGCTACAGTCAAACCCCCCCCCCCCCCTCCTCTTTTTCAAGTTACGCTCAACTGTCCGAATATTCGCCAGTTTCCAAGTATGCGGCTTAGTTAAGCTTTTACTGTTAAAGGATGACTGCATGAAGCAAATTTCTGTCTTCTGATTTCAGAAATGTTCCTTTTTTTCTTTTTTACTTAAATTACTTTGCTTGCAATATCTGTTAAGAGAAAACTGATATACAATGAAAATTTAGAAAATATTCAGAATTTAGATTTTTAAATTATTTAAATATTAATATGAGTGGAAAAATAAATTGTATTTATTATTAGGTTCCAAGCAAATACAATAAATATGCCTTATTATTTATTTTCTCTATTTTGAACTGAAATTTCATCATTAAATCTTGTAATATAGTTTAGTTCTGCATAGTTTTTTTTTTTTTTTTTTCTCTCATTGTAAACTAGTTCTGTAAATTGAACTGTTATTTAAAATTTAAAAAAAAAAAAAAAAAAAAAAGTAATTATTTTCCATGGTTGAGGTAATGCTTATTCTCTCTTAATAAATACTGCATTTCTCATATTTTAAATTACAAGTCTAATTAAGGTTATGCAGTTGTGTATAATGTCATTAGACAGGTGCTTATTTTTCTTTCTTAAAATGTGCTTAAAAAGTGCTTATAGGTGCTTATTTTTTTAATTAAAATGTGGCTATGAACCCTGTATAATCACAGTCATTAAATTTAGATTAATTGGAAATTTTTACTAAATTGGAAATATAATCACTGTCATTAAATTCAGACTGCTAGTGAACTTTTCTGAGATGAGAAAATAAGTTATTTTTAGAAATTTTTTTTGTCAGAATCAAGGCAGATTACTTTTGCGGACTTATTGCATGTATCCCCCACGAAATTGAACTTTGTCTGCTTTTGGCAGTTAATGAAGTAAACAAAAAAAAAAAAAAAAAAAAAAAAAATCATGTAATGCAATAAACCAGTTTATTTTTTGAGATAATTTATCTCCTTTAAGTTTCAAATTCAGTTAATGTGAATATTGGTATAATTCATATTTCTTTCTTTTCAGCTTAATAATTCTCCATTGAAAGGCAGAAAATCCTGTGCCAGGTAATTTTTTTTTTTTAATATTTATTTAATGCATATCTTAATATATAAATAAAGCAGTGTAAAGTTCGGATGATTCAGATTATTAAGCTTTCTTTCAAGGTCATGCAAAGTAAATTTAAACTTGCTTACGTTTATTAATATTTACACATTTTTGATTTTTTTCATTCAGCAAAATAATGCTGAAGTAACACAATACAAAATGTACACTTAAGGTGCTATTAATTCACGTTAGATGAATGAGCCATTTAGAAAACCAATAGAAAACAACTATTGTCTGGATATACTATGTTCACAAAAAGTTCTCACCCAGCTTTTATTTTCGCAATTGTTGATCATAAGCATATTTCCTATTACAAAAGTATTTTAAATGATGCAAATATTTGTGTTTTAGCATTTTTTAATTAAATTTTTTTGGGGTAAAAATTATGAAATCTAATTTTTTATATATTCCTCCATCCCTATACTTATAGTTAGGTAAATTTTACACTCATTATAAAAAATAAAATGGGGGGAGTGACTCCCATATGGCAAAAATTGACAAAGTTATTTAATTTCAAAACTGGAAATCAAAATCAGGCAATACAAAAACTGATTGGTGAAATATTTGTGTTTGTATAAATATCAGTCTGAAAAAATGCTTCTGATGTTAATAATTTAAATGATGAGAATTATTATCATGAAAATATGCTATGTAGATTATTGTAAAAATGCTAATATATATATAATATATATATATTATATATTTTGGAAAGTATTCTTACAGAATTTGTGTTTTACAAAACACTGATGGGCTTCTGTCAGATATCCAATTTGTAGCATTTTTTTCAAAAATTAAAATTAATTCTAATTTAATGAATTTTTCAGTAATTGTTAAGTTATGATCTTTAAGTAATAAAAATGCATGAGAATATCAGTAAAATATTTTTAGAGGTTAAAAACTTAAATACTTATATAAAAATATTTTTGGCATACCATGTGCAGGGTTGCCGACTCTCCTGATTTAGGCGGAAAACCCCAGATTTCCAGCCATATTTGCACCAACCCAATTTCCAACATACTTCTTCTGACTTTTGCTTATTGTTAAAATTTCTAATGATTTTTAGATAGCTGAGCTTAATACTTTGTTATTTACACCCAAAAAAAGTTTTTTTTTTTCCTTTTAAACATTTTAACCAAAACAAAAATATCTTGCAATTCACAAAACATTATTATTTTTTATTAACATCTGAAAATCTCATTCACATTCAGAAAACCTATGTGATTTAGCAAATGTGCAAACAAATAAAAGCAACAAAAATGCACAGAAACGAATAGAGCAAAAGAAAAGATATTAGTTCCTTGTTCCTATAAAAGCTAAGTAATAAAATTTCGAATGATTTAATCTATTACCAGACACTGAGAGCATAGCTTATTGGAAATAATCCCACATTCAGTGTTAGATCGTTGTGCAACTTAGTGTAAGAAAGAAATTACTCTCAATCTATTTTGAGAAAAGCTGTTATCAACTATTAAAAAATTCTGATGTGTACACCACATGACTTCCTTGTATGGAATATTAAATTATACACATTTTTTTCTTGAATTTCATTTAAATTGATTGGATTGAATAAAATCTACTTCGTCGACAGCGCATAAACCACAACAGAATAAATGCACTCTTTGAAATTCACTATATTTGTTTACTATAACGACACTCTGGCGCTAGATTCACTTAACAGTATTATATTTCGTTCATATTATAACTCAGAATGCACAAAATTTGTATCATTTAAAAAATTATCTAATCGGTGCCACATGTTCTTTTCAAATACTATAATAAAGCTAGAACGATGTATGAAAGAAATTAAGCAAATAAAACAGAAAAGATTTTAGACATCTGAAAGCACTTGTTTTTCTCTAGATACATATAAAAGAAAACCAAAGTTGTTTCATCAGTGAGATATAGCTAGCTTCTGCTTTGTTTGTAAGAGTATAAAACATGTTTCTGAAAACATCATGTTCCAGTTCTGCAAAGAAAATTGAGCGCTGCTACAGGCTATTTAGCATTATATTAGCCAATGAGCACAAAGCAAGATCGAGGTTATTTCGTTCATCTCACCAGTGAGCAGTGTAAGTTTCACGTGCTTTTGAAAAACAGTTTAAGAAACTTATCTTTTGTCTTTAGTTATGTCTGCTGAAAATGTAGACTACTCATGCACTTTTCAAAGATCATATACAGATGACTTTCCTTATATTATTTCGTCAAGGAAATGTAATACATTTGCACTGTGTACAATTGTCGCTGCGATTTTTCGATTTTGCACAGTGGAAGGGCTGATGTTTTTAAACAAATGCATACACAATGACAAGCTGTTTTTTTTTGGGGGGGGGAATTAAATTTTTCTGTGGAAACAAAAGACCAAAAAGTTATTAATGCAGAATGCCCGTTCTCTGCCATTTACTGGAGCACAACCTGTAACTGAGTCCATCAGATCATGCTGTAGACTTCTTTAGAGAAAAAAGTTTCCTCCTAGCAGTAAAATATTTAAGAAATACTCAAGCGCAAGGACAAAAAACAGCTGCAGTTGTAGAAGAAGTGGATTCAAGAAATTGGTATGAAAAATAAATTTTCAATTATCAATTGCATTAAAATGGTTCCATTCTGCCCTTCTACAGATGAGAACAATAATACCAATGCAAATCTGTATCTAATTCTTCTTTCTTTTTTTAAAATTCAAAGTCTTCAGTATTTGAGTATAATTTACTTTCTGCCCCCACTTTAGAAGGATATTCAACAGGCTTTGTATAGCACATCTAATTATTAAAACCTTAAAATAAAAACGCAGTTTAGGATAATTGCTTAGTATTTAGTGCTGGCAATGCACCAGCGATGGTAGGTTTGAAGACTAATGTTGCAGGCATCTTAAGAAAAGAAAATTCAGATTTGCAAGTTATTGCACTTGTCACCTCTTAAATTTAACAGTTGAAAAAGGGGCAGCTTCTTTACCAATAAGTGTGGATGAACACTTTGATATATATTATTATCTTGGAAAGATTTATAAAAAGAAGGAAAACTTCAAATAATTTTAACAGCCGCATAATACTAAAATAAGAAAAAAATCTGAAGCATGTATGTACACACTAATTATCTTTAGAGAAATGTTTATCTAGAATCCTTAACCAGAGTATCCTAATTCTTACCATTTTTAAGAAAGATGTAAATGCTTCTAGAGTTAAGATAAAAGCTCTATTGAAAGTTATAAAATACCCTAAGTAAATAGAGACATAGTTATTACTTCCACTTTAAAAATAGGTGTGAGAAGAATTAAGTTATATTTGCACCTGTGCACAATTTAATTGGCGATTTTCAAAATAATGGTACAAAACATAAGCTTCAATCTCTCCCAAAGTAAAAAGAATCGTTTGACAAGGGACACATTTTCCAATTATTGTAAGAATAAATATTGCTTCTGAAGAATTAATATTTATCTTTTTTTCATTAGATCATAACAAAGCTTTTTGCTTTTTTGTACGCTCCATTTTGCCATTATTTGGTGTTCTTAACACAATTCTACAGTGCAGATTTCCATTAATACATGTTTTGCAATCAACGATTAGTTATTTGGTTAAAGTATTATTTAATGATTAGTGAAAGTGAATAGAGTATTTTTCTATTATTAAAAGGTACAAATAATAATTTTTTACTTCCTTGTACGAAGTAAAAAGGAAGTATTGTAATCGCGAAAAGTTTCAGGCAGCATATTTCAACGAAAATATCCATTTTGACCGCTATCGAATGCAATTTAACGATGTTTTTGCGTGATATCTGTACGTAAGGACAGAATAAAATACTCTTTTCCTTCAAAAAGAATTATAAAACTGCTTTAAAATTAATTCTGAAGAGAATTTTTCGTGGCGTCTGTACGAACGTATGCACGTACGTACTTTCGTGCGTACGTACGTATCTCGCATAACTCAAAAACGAGTAGCCTCAGGACGTTGAAATTTTGTATATAGGACTGCTATAACATGTAGATGTGCACCTCATATTTTGGTTGCAATCGGCACAACCAAACGTATATAAATATATTTATATATATATCCACTCTGTTTACCCGGCTCAGTGATCTCAGTTTCTTTACTCTTATATGTTTGTAAATTGTACATTTTTTGCTTTAAAAATGATTGAATTATGTTGTGTTTTTTTTATCTTCCGGTTAAGGTTTTTATGCCTTTAGTAAATCTGTATGCAATATTTTTAGAATTATCAACAATTTTAAAGTTGTTTAAGTGCCGCTAAGCCTTTTTTATGGCGGCCATTGATGTTTACATTTGAAACAGGAGACTAGTGGATTTGTTGCCAATCTAGAGAAACTTAGCTTCGCAACAACAAAGATAACGCATTCATTTATTATTGCCAATTAAATCATGCTTAATTCTTTCTGGAATTTTTTCGAGGAAATAAGTGTTTAAGATTTACTTCGTAATTTTTAATATAGATATTTTGAGTTTTTATGTATTTTTGCCTTCTCGCGAAGTGAGAGAACTGAATTAATTAAATGAGAAATACTCAATCGTCTGTGAAAAACTGTTTCTTTTTTGTTTTGTTTGCTTAATTTTTTTATACATCGTTCTAGCTTTATTATAGTATTTGAATAGAACATGTGGCAACGATAAACGATTAGATAATTCTTTAAATGATATAAATTTTGTGCATTCTGAGTTATAATATGAACGAAATATAAATACTGTTAAGTAAACCTAGCGCCAGAGTGTCGCTATGGTAAAAAACAAGAGTGAATTTTAAAGAATGCATTTATTCTATTGTGGTTTATGCGCTGTCGGCGAAGTAATTCAATCCTAATAAGTTTAAATGAAATGCAAGAAAAAATGCGTATAATTTAATATTCCGTACAAGGAAGTCATGTGGTGTACACATCAGATTTTTTTTACATGTATTTTTGTATTTACATTTAAGAATTAGTTACTGAACTTTCAAAATTAGTTACTATTTAAAGTTA